ACAGAGCTACTGCACAGAGGTAGCAGTGGTGGTAGCAGTGGTTGTACTCTCTCAGTCATGGAAGAAAGTGGAAAGCAATACTGCAGTGATGGCTATGGCTCAAGCACCCCCTACTTGACAACAAAAGAAGAGGCAGAAGTAATAAGTAAGGCAGGTGATTCTCAGGGGCTGATAGCTGAGGAGGAATGGTCTCTCTAACTTTCTGCTTCTCATTCTAAATTCTGTCTTCAAACCCAATTGTAGTGGCTCCATGTCACTAATAAAAATGAAGAGATGTTTCCTTTTGATCATCTCTTCTTTACCACAAGGACTAACAGATGAAATGCCCAACAGAATTATCTGGATAACATGTTTTGGGCTGTCTTGATAAAAGTTCTTCAATAGCTACCAAAGTACTTTGAGACTTTTCCCTCATTTCTTTTAGAACTAACAATGGCAAACCTGAGGGTAACCACTGTTCATGACCTTTTGAAACCAATCAGTTCTTTATATTTTGAAGCCAGCTAATTATAACAGTGACCATTTAGATCAGGGGTCCTCAAACTAAGGCCCGGGGGCCGGATATGGTCCTCTAAGATCATTTACCCGGCCCTCGCTCAGGGTCAACCTAAGTCTGAAATGACTTGAAAGCAAACAACAACAACAACAACAACAACAGCAACAACAACAACAACAGCAACAACATCCTATTTCATTAGCCAAAAGCAGGCCCACACTTCCCATTGAAATACCAATAAGTTTATATTTGTTAAAATTGTTTTTCATTTTAATTATTGTATTATTTTAAGTTTTTTCCCCACTACAAACAAGATGTGTGCAGTGTGCATAAGAATTCATTCATTTTTTTCTTCAAATTATTCCAACAGTTTGAGGGACTGTGACCTGGCCCTATGTTTAAAAAGTTTGTGGACCCCTGACTTAGATTGTCCATTCTTCTTTCTTGGTCTCCATGTGTGACCTGTTAGAACTAACCAAACTGTTTTTGTCTTGTGATATCTTTGCATATACCTGTTTGTGTGTATAAAAATAATGTCAAAAAAGAGGAGAATATAGTTTTTGGTGATGATTTTAAGTAGTTTCCCTTAAAACCAGGCTATGTGTGGTCAAGCAACATCAGAGTGTGATTAAGATAGCAAAAAAGTGTTAATGAAGAAAGATTCACAACTTGTGAGAGGCTACAGCAGTTTGCTTTTGACTGAGCCTCTCGGGCAAGAAAGATTCTGCTTCCTTCTCTCTTGTTCTTTGTGCTGACCTGAGTTCACACTATTTTTGCCCTTTGAATTAAATTTTCTGCAACTGAAGTAAGTTGAAGGCAAAGGAGGAAAGTGGGAGAAGAGGAAAGCTGGACCGTTTTAAAATCAGCTGAAAAGGTGGCATGGCAAAGGATGAATGGGGACTGTCTATGCCAGGTTGGGACTATTGAAGAGTGCATGTAATATGTGCGTGTGCATGCGAGCCTTCAAGGAATGTGTTGATTTATGGCAATCCCATGAATTTCAAAGTGTTTTCTTAGGTAAGGGATACTTAGGGCCCATTTACACAGTACCTAAAACATGGGGGGGGGGGGGGGGTCTACAGCGGCAAATCCATGCTCATTTGCTGCAACTGACAAAAAACACGGGATAAAAATGGCTCCTTCTATCCTGATTCCAGCTGGAAAATGCACATATTTGCATCACTGTATATCCCTGAATTCATGAAAAACACATGATTTCCTTTGATTCCCCCCTGTGGAGACTGCTCCAGCACATGTCCACTTTTTAAAAGCTGACCAGCTGATTGGGCTGTGAAATGGGCACACAGATGATTTAAAGGATGCACAAATGGAGAGCTGTTAGAACTCTCTGAAACTCTTTATTATAAACTTTATAATGTTAAACAGGGCTTGAATAAACAATTGGGAGAAGAGAGAAATCTGGTGGAAGTTTTTTTTAAAAAAATCCCCGTTATTTTTCAACCTCATATGTGTACATGCAAATCTGCTTGCACTTATATTGAGATATTCACATGTGTGCATATACGGTCCAGTGCATAACGGAATGACTTAAAAAAAATTAAAATCACCTTCCGTCAGATGTCCCTGTCTGCCCTACATCTTGTTCTGATACAGAGAAAGTCTGTTACGATAGTGGGGGGAGAAATCCAGGGACCCACAGGTCTATGTGGGAATATGCTCTCAGGTCCAGGGTTTTTTTGTCCTCCTTTTAAAACCTACATTTTCTTGCTGTCTGGAAGCACCCTTAGAGATGGTTTTACCAGTTCCTTCCTTTGAAATATAGTCCACAGTACCTGGTATTCATTGGCTGTTTCCCATCCCAATACTCACCAGAACTGACCCTCCTTAGTTTCCCAAATTAAAAAAACCTGGTGCATTTAGAGTTGTTAGGCCTATATATGTAAATGTATGTGTATATGTTTATATGTATGTATTAATAAAGATGTGGCACTACTCAAATTTAGATGTTCTAAGGCAGTGTTTCTCAATCTTCCTAATGCCGCGACCCCTTAATACAGTTTCTCATGTTGTGGTGACCCCCAACCATAAAATTATTTCAGTTGCTACTTCATAACTGTAATTTTGCTACTGTTCGTAATGCAGATATCTGATATGGAGGATGTATTTTCATTTACTGGACCAAATTTGGCACAAATACCCGATACATCCAAGTTTTAAGACTAATGTGGTTGGGAGGGGATTGATTTTGTCATTTGGGAATTTTAGTTGCTGGGATTTATAGTTCACCTACAATCAAAGAGCATTCTGAACTCCACCAACGATGGAATTAAACCAAACTTGGCACACAGAACTTCAATTATCAACAGGAAAAACAGGATGGATTTGGTGGGCACTGACCTTGAGTTTTGGAATTATAGTTCACCTACATCCATAGACCCAAACAACGATGGATCTGGACCAAACTTGGTATGAATAGTCAATATTCCCAAATGTGAACAGTGGCGGAGTTTGGAGAAAATAGATGTTGACATTTGGGAGTTGTAGTTGCTGGGATTTATAGTTCCCCTACAATCAAAGAGCATTCTGAACTCCACCAATGATGGAATTGGACCAAACTTGGTACACAGAACTCCCACGACCAACGGAAAATACTATAAGGGTTTGGTGGGCACTGATCTTAAGTTTTGGAGTTGTAGTTCACCTACATCCATAGAGCACTGTGGACTCAAACAATGATGGATCTGGACCAAACTTGGCACGAATGCTCAATATGCCGAAATGTGAACACTGGTGGAGTTTGGGGAAAACAGACCTTGATATTTGGGAGTTTTAGTTGCTGGGATGTATAAGTTTACGTACGATCAAAGAGCATTCTGAACCCCATCAATGACAGAATTGGGTCACACTTCTCACACAGAACCCCCATGACCAACAGAAAATACTGTGTTTTCTGATGGTCTTTGGCGACCCCTCTGACACCCCCTCGTGACCCCTCCAGGGGTCCCGACCCCCAGGTTGAGAAACACTGTTCTAAGGTGTCACATTAAATCTAGATGATTTAGCACTGAGGTCCTAAATGTCAAGGCCACTGTGCGTTTGGGGTCCTCTAGAAAAATGAAAATCACTACAAGTATCAGGTTGATAGGTCTCTTGTTATAAAGGCTTATGTATCTTGTCTGGGTTTTGATACGGCAAAACAAAGACTGTGGGACATTGCCTTCTGTGAGCTGCGTTCTCACTCATATGTTTCTTGTTCCCCAAACGCCCTGAGTATAGATTGCTGTGCCTCTCCATGAAGCAAATTATCTTAAGAACTTGACCATGGACAAATATCACTGCCTGTTCTCTAGGGCAAAGTACAATGTGTTTCCATCTGAAGTGTTTCAAGATAGACTTGCAGGAGTCCTATACAATGCAAGACTTTGATCCTGTAATAACCAGAATGTTGAATGTATGTATCACATCTGATTGTCCTGCAGTTTTTATAAGCAAGCTTGGCTACATATTATTAACCAACTACTGATAAATTTACCCACTCGATCAGCCCAGTTCCATGTAAAGATTTTACTAGATGACAGTTCCCCCCATGTGACCTTGGCTATTGCCAAGTTTCTCTCTGAGGTAGTGGGATAAGACAACTTCCTGTATTAGACTCAGGCTGAAACTTGCCTTGTATCTATTTGTAGTTTTCTTACTCTAGTTCATATGCATCTTGCATTGCATGTCATCCTGTGTTTAATTGGTCTTATCAGGTTATGAATCTGTTTGCAGTTGTGCACCTTTTACCGCTTATCAAATTGGGTCTTTGGATTGTAATAAAGTTTTGATTGATTGATAAAGGCTTATGTCACACTAAAATTTTTTAGATCCCTATCAAAGTCCTGCTTTATATCACTGTCCATAGGTCTGGCCACACTGGTGCTACATCAGGGCTTGAGGGCATATAATTCCTGCAAATGACTTTCCCCGAACTCTACCAGTGTTCACATTTGGGCATACTGGGAACTCATGCCAAGTTTGGTCCAGACCAGTCATTGTTTGAGTCCACAGTGCTCTCTGGTTGTAAGTGAACTACAACTCCAAAATTCAAGGCCAACACCCACCAAACCCTTCCAGTATTTTCTGTTGGTCACAGGAGTCCTGTATGCCAAGTTTGGTTCGATTCCATCATTGGTGGAGTTCAGAATGCTTGTTGATTGTAGGTTAACTATAAATCTCAGCAACTACAACTCCCAAATGACAAAATCAACCCCTCCCCAACCTCACCAGTATTCAAATTTGGGTTTATTGGGTATTTGTGCCAAATTTGGTCCAGTAAATGAAAATACATCCTGCATATCAGATAACATTTCGATTCACAACAGTAGCAAAATTATAGTTGTGAAGTAGCAACGAAAATAATGTTATGGTTGGGGGTCACCACAACATGAGGAACTGTATTAAGGGGTCGTGGCATTAGGAAAGTTGAGAAGTATTAGTGTAGATTAATATTGCAGGACAGCCTGTAAGTTAAATAGATAAATTGACATGGATGAAACAAACGTATTTTTTGCTAAATTTTATTTCATTTGAAAAGCAGTTTTGAATGTTGAGTCAGATTAGGAAAGAGTAGATAGTGAAATTAATCCTGATCTCCTCATGCCCAGTTGCAGCACTGACAGCTGGAGTCAAAAACAAGACCGGACTGGCAATTCTGCAGGAAGGTTCTTCCGTTCACGCAGTGGTAGAAGCTGTTCTTGTCGGTTGGGTCTGGATAAAGGCCTCCGGCTTTTCCAGCACAGAACCCACTACCACCAGAGCTGCTGGGACTTCCACCAGAGCTGCTAGGGCTACCTCCAGAACTACTGGGGCTGCCACCAGAACTTCCACTGCCACTGCTGCTACCACTACCAGAGGATGGTGGGACAATGGGCTGGGAAGGAGCTTTGCAACCTAGAGGAGAAGACGACAGTTATAATAATAATATTTTTTTATTTGTACTTCGCCACCATCTCCTCTAAGGGACTCGGGGCAGCTAACAAAGTACTCCAAAGTACCGCACATAAAATAAAAAGAATTACATAGTGATAAAAACATGAGCAGATTCCTCTCTTGGGTAACCATGGCTATCTTTGATATCTTAAATATGAATTTTATGGCATTATGGGCTTGACACAGACAATTAGTCCATGCTACAGAGAAGGTCAACCATGAGTCTTTTAATTTTGCTTTCCACCTTTTCATAAAGTATAATTCACCTTAATCCACCTCCATGGCACAGAGATGAGTCTGAGTTGCTAATCATTTTAATCTCTGGTACACACAAAATGAGCAATTTCTAACTTTGTTGACTGCAAAATCTCATAATCGGTCATTCTATCCCATCTTTCCACTATTTGGGATCCACCAAATCAAAGATAGCTTATCAGCAGCCGTAACAGTTCAGTGTTGGCTAGTGGCTGATGGCTGATGGCTACTGTATTAGATGGGTGAAAAATCCACTCCAGGGTTTAGTTTGATCTTTAAAGAAGATGTCCAAAATATTGAACTGAACACTGTCTTAAAAATACACCCAACACCTTAAATTGTTATTTTAAGAGGAAGGCTAAAACAAATAGTAAATCCACTCTCCTACTGATGGGGTCACTACCAGCTGCCACTTGAGAATCTCATTCTTTTAATTTTCATGCAGTGGAAAGTTAATTCAGCCTCTAGTGACCTACCATACATAATCAATGTAATCGTTTAAATTGATGGCTTATATGTTTCATGACTCTGCATTAATCCTTGCAGAATTCAAGAACTCTCTGATTGGGAGGCTTATGATCAATTATGAACTTTGTTCTGAACTGTATCAGTCCTCTCCTTCCAATTCCTGTGTTATTGTCTCTGTAGCAGTGGTGAAGTCTGTTTGGGACTGACACTCATTCCAGTTTCATATTGAACATAAATATGTCCACTTGCTAGCAAAATCTTTGACTTTGAGAACTGAAAAGCAGCCAGATAATTAAAAAAAATTCATAATTTTTGCCTGCTTGATGCTACTACTGTATCAAAATGTGCTGACAGTACACGGTCTTTTCTATATTTCTCTGTCCAATCTACATCTCAAATTGATATGAATATATTACATCCAGCCACAAACCATTCCCTAAAATGCTGGTCTTCACATTCATATTGTGGGCTTCTGCTACTGCCTCCACCCCCACTTCTATTTCTACTTCTACCACTACTACTACTTACTTGCACTCTGCAGTCCAAGAGCATTCTTCAAGGTGGTGATCAAGGGGTATTTGCCCTGGTTGCAGAAAGTGCCAGTGAAGTCATCCAAGTCAAGGGACCAAACCATGGCACCTGCAAAGTTGTTCTTCTTCACCCACTCAGCCTGTTTGATGTAAAGAAAGAAGCTAGGATAAATCCATGTTGCATGAAGAATAGGAGCAGTATTCCATGTTGAATCATTAAGCAGCAGCAGGCCTGTAGCCAGGATTTCGTTTCGGGGGGGGGGGGCTAAAAAATTTTCGTTTTGGGGGGGGGGTGAGTTTCGGGGGGGGGCTGAGTCTGAGTGAAAGAGGGTCTAGCCTAGCAAACCTTTTGTATCATTACCCCAATACCCCCATACATATGGGATATATTGAGAATGGTGATCAAATCATGATATTAATAAACATAACAGTTTAAATAATGCACCAGTAAGGCCTTTCGTGAACCACCATGAGAATTTCGGGGGGGGCTGAAGCCCCCGAGCCCCCCCCCCCCCCGGCTACATGCCTGAGCAGCACTCTCATACCTTGATGTTGAAACTCTTGATGTTGTCATACCCAAGCCACTCATTCCCTTTGTAGGCATAGGGCACATCTTGAGGACCATCCCAGGCTTCTGTAGCTCCATTTTTCAGGAAGGTGCAGATCTGAAACAGGAAAAAACCACCATTTTGTTAGTCATCTAAGATTTTTGATCGTGGTTAGTTTCTTGTAATGCAATTTGCATGATCCAGAGGCATGAATTCAAAGTATAAAAATGCAGGTCTTTGCTATGTGTTGTGCTAAAGTGTGGACTTCATAATAAAGCAAATCCTTGCTAATGTGTTGTTGTTCATTCATTCAGTCGTCTCCGACTCTTCATGACCTCATGGACCAGCCCACGCCAGAGCTCCCTGTCGGCCGTCACCACCCCCAGCTCCTTCAAGGTCAGTCCAGTCACTTCAAGGATGCCATCCATCCATCTTGCCCTTGGTTGGCCCCTCTTCCTTTTGCCTTCCACTTTCCCCAGCATAATTGTCTTCTCTAGGCTTTGCTGAACTAGGAACTTGCTAATGTAAAAAACCTAAAATTCCTCATTATTCCATGCATTAGGCAGATTGTTCTATGTTAATATCATCTGTCATAAGGAGGAAGAGTAACAGCTGTTTGCCTGTGGAAGCCAGAAGGCAAACTTCATTCTTTGTCTAGATCTAAAAAACCCACTAGTTGCTGTATTTCAAAAACATTTCCACCACTGCTCTTGACTAAACAGCATTCCTACACAAAATCAAAATATTAATGACATCATCCAAGCCATTTGCCTCAGTTTGATTGGGTTGATTTTCTCTTTGCATTGTTTCACATATAATCTGATACTGTATTTTTGTGTCAGAATAATAATAATAATAATAATAATAATAATAATAATAATAATAATAATTTTATTCTTGTATCCCACCACCATCTCCCTGAAGGGACTTGGGGCAGCTTACGGCACAAGGTGCCTAAAAATAGAAAATAAAATAAGACACAATGCAAAATACAATAGAATAAAACATAAAAGCATATGAAACAACAACGTAAGACTCAATAAAGCAGCACCTAATAACCAATGGTGATAAGCTAGCTACTATAAACATGGCCAGGCTGTAAACAATAGGACAAGGGAATGGGATAAGTGCAAAGTTGTAACCATGGAATGAGGACATGGGATGAAGTGCAATGTTGCATAACTATTATATAGAACAACTAGGAACTAGGTGTTCTCAAAAGCATGTTTGAACATCCAGCACTCTGATGTATGTCGCTTCCATCATTCGATGTATGATGCTCATGATATGGATGGTACATATTTATTACAAAACTCTTTTCTACTGATGGTTTGTAGCAAACCAACTTTATTTCTTTTGTTTCATGATCTGTCAGTACTGAGGAATGTATTACTGGTTCATACTGATCAAAAATAAGTTCATTGATTCTGAAGGATCATCAATAAAATAAGTTGACTGCTAGTTGCTTGAATTTATTGAATTCAGTTCTGTGTTATCAATACAAATGTACAAACCTCATAGTAAGCCCAGAAGCCAGCTTGTCTTGTGTAAGGTCCAGCAGGCCCAGACCCAGATGTGGGAGCACCAATGGCAGTATTGGATGGATCGCTGAGGATGAAGGTGTGTCCATAAGTTGGGAATCCAACAATGAGTTTCTCAGCTGGGGCACCGTTATCTTTCCAGTAGTTCATGGCATAGTCCTATAAAAGCAATACTTGTGTTTTGAGTTTTGCATGCTTGCAGTTTTTCAAGCCTGATTTCATTGCAGGTTCTGAGGAGCCCTGGTGCATCCTTTCATCTTATACTTACAATGTTGAAGTAGATGTTGCTGCCAGTATCAGCAGGACCTTTGTACAGAGGGCTGTTCTCTCCAGTGTACCCTTCCCAGGATCCATGGAAGTCATAAGTCATCACATGGAAGTAGTCCAGGTACCTGTGGGATAATAACATGCATCTGTATCTAACATACTATTTGGTAGGCAGTATGAAGACTCAGTTATTTAGGCCTCACATTGCTAAAGATGGTTTCAGATGAGGTCTGATTATACAATAAATATATTTGCAATCTCCCTGTTTCATCCACAGAACTGTATAGGGATTCAGGTATCACAAGCAAATAATTTTTTTTCAGTGGGGCAATCTTTTGTTGAGAGGTAATTAGATGTCCCAGATTGTTTCCTCTCTGTGGCTTTGCTGGGACATCTAATCACCTCTCAACAAAAAATTGCCCCAGGCACTGCCAAGCCATCAAATGCTAATCAAAGTAGTCAGTTGAGACATTCACACCTAGCTCCAGCAGACAAGTGTCCTTTGTCCCACCTTGGTCATTCCACAGATATATAAACCCCTTTCCCTAGTTCCAACAGACCTCACTACCTCTGAGGATGCTTGCCATAGATGCAGGCGAAACGCCAGGAGAGAATGCCACTAGAACATGGCCATATAGCCCGAAAAAACCTACAACAACCCAGTGATTCCAGCCATGAAAGCCTTCGACAATACATTTTTTTTCATGTCAGGAGCGACTTGAGAAACTGCAAGTTGCTTCTGGTGTGAGAGAATTGGCCGTCTGCAAGGACGTTTCCTCAGAGGACACCCAGAAGTTGGATGTTTTACCATTCTTGTGGGAGGTTTCTCTCATATCTCCGCATGGGGAGCTGGAGCTGACAGAGGGATCTCATCCGTGCTCTCCCACGATTCGAACCTCCGACCTGACGGTCTTCAGTCTTGCCAGCACAAGGGCTTAACCCATTGTGCTACTGGGGGTTTCTTATGCAAAAGAATTAGGATTTTTCTTCTTCAGATTTTCCCATTGTATCTTATAAAAAGCTAGCATCTGATGCCACAGAATGGCCATCAATGTCTTTTGATTCTAGCAATTCATGCAGTCAGTGGTCAGCGATGAAGATGCATCTTTTCGGATCTCTGGTTATTATGCACTCAAGTTGTGAACACTGGATGTACCAGCACAGAACCACCTCTTTAGAGTGAATGCCCATAGCATTATTAATATTTATCAGTGCCTTATTGCCAGTAATCATGGAGAATAGTATTTATGCCTATATGCTCTGCTTCAGTGTCTCTGGGCTCAAGCACATGTTGCAAAGCACACTGTAACCGGCAATACATTTTCTAGCTACGTGGAAATGCTCTCTTAGTACTTCACCAAGGAGAAATTTATGAGATTGAACAGGTTGGTTTTACATTGTTGCTCACAACTGAAAACCTTTATGGTGTACATTATGTGGTCTTATAGTACATTAGCTCACAGTGTAATGAGATCTTCATCTGTGCAGATAACAAAAGGCAGATGTTACTTATAAAATCTGAAGTTTGAAATCACTCTACTTACTGGCCAAGCTCAGGGATCTGGTAGCCTGACTCAATATTGGAAAGTCCAGCAGCAACAGCAGCAGTGACCATAAGCCTGGGTCTGTTTGTTTTCTGGGCCTCCTGCTCAAAGGCTGCCAACATTTCCTACAAGATAATAAAACTGAACTAAAAAGTCTTATTAAAGTATTTATTTATTTATTTTCAGCATTTATATTCCACCCTTCTCCCGACAAAGGGGACTCAAGGTGGACCACAGAAAACATACATGGCAAACATTCAATGCCATTAAACAGACAGGACAGACAACAGATAGAGGTATTATGTCCACATTTTTCCTAACTTCGGCATCCTGGAGGCTGTGCTTGATTCCAGCCACAGGGAAGAGCTGTCGCACCATCTTGTATGACGAAGACCTCTTGATCACAGAGTTCCTCTTTCCTTTGATCACTGGCATTTCCTGGCATTTCCTTTTATGGTGCCGTAAAATACCTCCCTGCTTAAGCGGTGCCTAATTTCTCTACTCACAGCTATTTTCAAACTGCTTAGGTGGACAGTAAGCTGGGCTGAAGGTGCTCACCCCGACCCAGGCTTCAAACTGTCAACCTCTTGATTGGTAAGATCTATTGCTGCTGGTGATTAACCAGCTGTGCTAAAGTAGACATTCTGGCCTTAGTAGACATTCTGAATAAGTTGGTTTTACTGGGGCAGTATCCTTTATGGATGATCTCCCTATCAGTTGTTGCCAAAAGAAAAGTGTTGTCATAATCAGGATATTCCTCCTTGTTTGAGAAATGTTGACATTTTTCTTACAAGTATCTTTAATCACTATATGGTGAAATAGTAAAACACTTTTTCTATTATTTTTGTTTGACTTGGACTGTACTGATTGGATTACATAATCTTAATTGATGTTTTAATAATTCATGTTTAATTGTATGGTTTTAATTGTATTTGTTAAATTTATATTTATATATATTAGCATCAAATCGCTGCCTGCTATAAGGCCGCCCCAAGTACCCTTTTAGGGTGAAATAATAGGTGAAATAATAATAAAGAATTATAACAAAATTTTATTTATGTGCTGTTTTCATTGCTTAAATGTTATGATAATGCATGACAACTAATGCAATTGGGTTTTCTTCCTTCCTTTCTTCTCCTCTGTGGACCTCCATGTCATCTCCTCCTGAGAGCTGCCCATGAGGCATCCCACTGGTGTAAGTAGTTAATTATCTTACTAGCACCACACTATGAGATCCTGGCTTTTGTTTTTCTCTTCTTTCAAAAAACAAGGATACAGAAATTTCATCTAAACCAGAGGTTTCAAAATAATATCATTTATTCATTGAAAACTTGGAAAAAACAAAAGCTGGAGTGCATCCCATTCAAATCTCAGAGGGAGGGGAAGAAGAGATATCTAAAGATGCTGAAGAATCCGACTTAATTATTAAAAGCCCAATGTGATTCAGTTTATGGATATTTTAAGGCCTTGCTCAAGGGGTTGTACAAAGAATATACCTACAAATGTAAATGAATATAACCTCCTTCACCTCCATGATCTGGGTGAGCAGCTCTCAACTTTGCTAACTCCTGTGCCTAGGAGACCAGGTCCTGAACTGGATACATGGATGGGTCTACTAAAGAGGACATGGCATGGGAAGGGGCAACTTTGGGTTGTGGGTCAAAGAATGACATCAGGTAGGTATGTGGGGGAAGGGCTGTTTATGGCTGGCAAAGCAATTATGGTCTGTGATTTTTCAAATAGTTCTTGAACCTATTCTATGTAGCCCTGTAGCCCTGGCCCTGAGTGGAAAGAAGAAATATACAAACAGTGACTTTACCTTAACCAGGACGGTAAAGAGGGACTTATCCTGAGGAGTGCTGCCTCTAGAGCCAGGATACTCCCAGTCAAAGTCCAGTCCATCAAAACCATACTGGCGCAAGAATGTGATGACAGAATTGATGAAGGTCTGGCGGTTTGCAGGAGTGGAAACCATAGCAGTGAATCTGAAAGGTGGTTATAAGGGTGGTTTTAGGGAGTTGCCTACTTCTTGCATGCATTCTTGCTAGTAAGAATAAAATGCTTCAAACTTACGGTGCTGTTCCAAAGTTCCAGCCTCCAATTGCCAGGAGAGTCTTCAGTTCTCCATTCCTGCAATGGGAAAGATTACAGATGTGAATCCTAGACTCTCTGGCATGACAAATCACACATCAATGACATCTGGCTGTCCCCATATTATGTCTGTTTTAAATCGTGATCCATGTTCAATACAAATTCATTTAGTATTCAAGAATAAATTGCTTTTCATTTTTGGATTTCAGGACCAATAGATAACCCCATTTTGGGTAACTAGTGTCCTAGTTTCATGGATATTTGAAAAGATCTTGCTCCTTTGGTCATAATAGTATTGAATTTGGATAAGTTTCATGTGTAATTTTTTAAAATGACATATTATTTGAGAATATCTCACATGTGATTTCAGTGTTTGCTGTTCGTATTGTAAAGACTAGCTGGCACACTAAAAAGATAACCCATATTTTATCACACCCCCTACTGTTGAGTGAATAGTTCAAAATGGATAATTTTGGCTTGTGACACATTATATCTAGACAGCAAGGTAGACACGATAAATAAATAAATAAATAAATAAATTTAAAAAAAGCAAGGTAGACATCTAGCAGAAAAGGTAACAGAGAAAAAACAGAGAGGTGCTATATATTCCTTCAGAAAATGCCTTGAACTAAAGCTGACAAATGTCCTGTCTGAGCATCGTTTTGGCTGAATGTTTGTTTTGACTTAATAGCATGTTAGAAAAAAAAAAGAACGGGGAAAGGGGAATGAGTTATTCATGGGTACTTACTGGTTTTTCAAGCCATTGAAAGATTTGTAGAGGGTGACATCATTCCATTCAATGGTTGCAATCTCATTGTTGCGCATCCCAGCAAAGGCATAGATCAGGTGAGTACACAGGCAAGGGTCAATGTTGTCAGGCTTGTAGCGCCCAAGGCCTGGTCTGTATTGGCCCCAGTTGGTGAAATAGCATGATAGCACATAGGCAGAACCTGTTTTATAGAAAGAGAAGAAAAGGGAGATCTGATAATGAATCTTGAAACAGAATTGGGCCAATACTGAGGGTATGAAGAAGATATCTTGGCATATATTTTATTTCGCTATTTTAAAAGCCTTAATGCATTTAGTCAGCACCCCATGTCTTTTGTAAATTTAATTACTGTTTTAATTAAATGCTTTCTCTAGGAATGTTTTATAACAATTATACATTGATTGATAGATGGCACTTTAAAAGTCTACTATTTTCATTTAGACCCCTTTGACCTTGGGTTAGTCCCTCAGCCTCAGAGGAAGGCAAATGCAATCCTCCTCTGAACAAATCTTGCAGAGCTGATTTCAATAGTTTCTCCATATGGTCAGGAATGAATTGAAGGCACGCAGCAACAACAAAAGTTATTGAAGTCCTGCTTGAATAAAGAGGTCTTTGCTGCTTTACCTTAGGCAGCAAAGTATGTTGGGCCAGTTCTGCTCATTAGGTTTGGTAAACAAAAGCAATGGATTGTTGTAGATTTTTCTGGCTGTGTGGCCATGTTCTAGAAGCATTCTCTCTTGACATTTCACCTGCATCTGTGGCAAGCATCCTCGGAGGTTGTGAGGTTTGTTGGAAACTGGAAAATTGGGTTTTATATATTCGCAATGGATTTTGATTGCCATTTATATTAACATCATTCTTTCTGTTTTGCACAAGCTTATATTACAGTACTGAAAGAATGACCACTTTTCATTTTATAAATATGTTACTTAATTATCCCAATATATTTGTATAACATTAATAATTTTTGTTGGCTTGCTGTTACAACCCCCTGATAAAATTAAAAATAAATGTAAAGGTTGTCTTTTATTAAAGATATAAACACATTCTGAATTGCAGAAAGATGCAAAGTAACTATATTCATGGCTATTGGCTATTATAGTAATTACTTTACAGTTTCTTATCTGGTCTATTAAAAGTCACTTGTAGCTTTCTAAGCCCAATATTATATACTCTACTCACCCACGGCTATACCACCCAACATATACTCTACTCTGACTGAAAGTGGCTCTCTAAGGGTGTAGTTGTAGTTTTACAAGGACTTTAAACTTTTCTGCTAGAGAATGCTGGTGCTTCACCGAGGTACAAAACTCAGGACCACATAGCATTAGGTTCTGGCAGTTAAAATGGTGTTAAATTACATTAATTCTACTGTGTAAATAACCCCCAGGCCCTTTCCTTTCCCCCCTCAATTGTTTAAGTGGCTGAGGGGGGAAAGGAAAAGGCCTGAGGCTGTTAGGAATTGTGGGAGCTGAAGTCCAAAACACCTGGAGGCCCCAAATTTGCCCATGCCTGGTGTAGATGCTCCAAAAGTCCTAAGATGGTATTGCTTCCATCAGTGCTGCTACTTAAAGTAGTAATACTAGGGATTAAGCTAGATTGAGAACTTCTGCATACAAAATATCTGCTGTATCCCTGAACTATGACACAATGCTTTCCTTACAGAGAAAAGGCAGTAACACCAAGAATATTTAATTGATATCTTTTCCCCATCAGCCATGGTCCAGAGATACATATATTCCCAGAACTGGACTTCATACCTATTTGTGCATTCAGCAGGAGTACCAGACCTGTCAAGAGAAAGGATATCATTAGTAAACTGGATTAGCAACATTACTCTCCCCTGACAGCATGACGTAGGTCTAAATTCAATAGCTAGTCTCAACTAAAGTCTCTTCATTTCCTTAATGACTTAAAACATTCAACAATTGATTCATTTGTGTCACTCTTGTGAGAGACAGCCAGCTGTACGTAATTCGTAATGTATATGCATGCATGTTAATAATAGCACAAACCTGTATCTCATGTTAGTTTTGACTAGAGTAGACCTATTCAATCAACTGGATTTCACTATATGTTTTGCAACAATTGATCCAACTCTAGTTGGGAACTAGTCAACAGGACATCAGCCATAACTATTTATTAACTTTATTTCTAACACACCTTTTCCCTGTGGGAAGCCAAGGTGGTTTACCATCACATGGCAGAACCCAATAAATTTTAAAAAGTGGCAAATGCAAGTTATTTTTTTTTAAAAAACAATTAAATGTTTGCATCATGAATTCAAAATGCAGTTAAGATTCAATGAAAATACTCATGCAATTAAAATTACATTTAAAACTAAATATCCTCCACAACTCCCACCCACAACCTCCCCAGCATCATGCCCTTCATCCTGCCTCAAATGCCTGCTTGTGAAAGGTAAGCGGGGATGGGGCTATCTGGAATCTGGGAGGGAGTTTCAAAGTTCTGGATCAGCTGCTGAAAAGGCCCTCTCCTTTGTTCCCACAAAAAGGCACTTCAGTTTGTGATGGGACAGAGAGAAGGCCCACCCCAGATGATCATAGATTTCTAACAGATTCATAGAGGAAGATATGGCCCTCAAGTAACCTGGACCCAAGCCATAGGCGCGATAGGCAGGGGATGAGAGCCAGGGCCTTCTCAGTGGTGGCTCCTCGGCTGTGGAATGCCCTCCCTAGTAATGTTAGATCAGCCCACTACATTCTGACCTTCTGAAAGAGAGTGAAGACATGGCTTTGAGATCAAGAATTGTAAGTGCAATAGATGAATACAGAATACGTGCAATGACTGACTAGTGGAATGGCCCTGGATTATGATTGTGGATGGCGTGGTTATAATAGTGAATGTAATGATTTTAAATGTTTTAATGTGTTTAAATTTAAATATTAAATTTAAATGTTTATTTTAATTATATCTTGTTTTTAAGACATTGAATAGTTGCCTATATGTTAAGCTGCCTTGAGTCCCCTTTGGGGTTGAGAAGGGCGGGGTAGAAAAATGATAAATAAATAAATAAAGAAGTGCACCTAAAATTGGCCCACTGAATTATCCAGTTTATTTCAGATATAAGTCGAAATGAAATATGATGCTCCTAATAGTAAGGGAGATTACTTTTCCCCTGTGGTTTTCCATGGTACTGACCACTGTCAATTTCATTGGCAAAAGAATGCCATGATTAACTTCCTATAATTTTGGATGAATGCATATGAACAGCTTAAATAGCTTTTTTTAAAAAAAGGGAAGCAGTTACCTGCATTTTATTTGATCTACAATGCAATGCATCTTATTAATAGAAAAGTATGGTGAGGAGGACCTGGAGAGCGGAGTTGTTCAGTACAAGGAGATATACAAATTTATAGGTTCATCTAAATAGCAGAAGTAATCTGTTCTTCAAAAACACCCAAAGATCAAACAGTTTCTGCAACTTTTATACAGTAAGCAAGATCCTTTCCAGAAAATAGGAAGAATAGCTTTCACTGTCATTCTTTTTAGTAAAATGCCAGCAAATGAGGTTGACCATACAGTAAACCAGATTTCATACACTTTTTGGGATGGTGGTGGAGTTACTTAATTGAATTAAGTAAGACTAATTATCTTTTAAATACCAAACTATTTATGAAATAGCAGTGGCTCTTTCACTGCATAAAGAACCAACAAAAGAATTATAAGAGTCTATTATATGAGAGTTATATTTCTACTTACCCGTAAGCAAGATCAACTTGGCCATCTTTGCCTCTGTACTGATTTGACACTGTTCCTTACTTCCTTTTATACCCCACATTTGCCCTTTTAACACTTTGGGGTTTTGTAACCAAAGACATTTCAAACACATGGCTGTGACATACATCAAACATTAGTAGCACAGAACACATTCCATTACAGGTACAGAATTATGGAAAATGTGGACTTAAGAAAACAGGGTTATCTATACTTTTGTTTTACCAGTGCATTTAGACCCCTGGCGGAACAGATTGTGATCACAGAATATAATACTATCATTCGTTTAATTCAATAATTACATATGGCAATCAGGGCTTTTAGATGAAGAATAAATAGTGTGTTATATAACCCATATGGACAAGGGGTCAGATATTTGCTCCAATAATCTGTTCTTTCTCAAAGCCTAAAATGTAACAGAAAGGAGAGAAAATATATCTCCTTCTAGTCTTGACGTGGACAGTAGCTGAGCAGGAGCTATTGTTGGACTACAAATCCCAGCACATCTAACCATTGAAGCTAATGGTGAAAAATGAAGGAAACCACAACCTGTCAAGATCATACGTCACTGGCATCTGTTCCTAATTAATAGCTAACTTTTGTTTCGGTTCACAAAGAACAAAACATAGTGGAATTGGGAGTGCATATGTGCTTCATTTGTACCCCGATTTTATTTTATTTTTTGACAACCTAATATCTCCTGCTAGAGTATAGGATCTGTCAATAGTCTAAGCTTAGTAAATAGCATTTAGATATGTGGTTCTCAATTATTGTTTGGCTTCATATTCTTCTAGTTAAAGCACTGCAAATAGTAAATAAATCATATGAGAGAGTATTAGACAATTTACAACAGTGCTTTTTAAAAAATCTGCAAGTCAATATCTAGGTTTAGTTTCTTGAGATCTAAACCATTTATTATCAGATTGCCGGAAGGATTACCTTTTCCCATATTTAACTACAGTTTCAGGAACGGGAACCATGCAGTTGTGGACCTCTGACTTGTCACTCAAGTGTCCATTGGAGAAAAGTGTCCATTTTGAGAAAAAAAAATATTTATTTATTTACGTCACTTCTATCCTGCCCATATCAGCCTGAAGGCGACTCAGGGCGGCATACAAATTGGCAACAATTAGATGCCATATATAAAAATGCATACTGTAAAGGCCTCTTTTGTTTGGGTGTGTCCCCAAAGCACTGTTCTGGGACCCGAAACTGATTTTTGGTTTGCCTGAAATGCCACTTGTATATCACTCCAGACTGCCAGAGGATGGGCAACTGGCTCTCTGACTCCTGGAGCTAGTCCATATGGATCTATCTGTATGCTAAACTTCAGAAGAGCTTCTCAAGGTGTCTTTGTGAAGTGGCATTTAGCCAGTGGCTGCAAGACAAATCACTTACTCAGTAGAGTCTCCCAGATGAGGAGTGACCTTCCCATGGAGGTTTGCCTGGCACCTACTGTGGTCCTTTCAATCCACCTTTCTGTTTGCCAAGCCCTCCCCACACCCTCAGTCATTTGAAGGTTTTCTAAAGATCGTTCAAAGATTGCTTTTGAGATCTTCTGAGATCATGAATGCGAGAGTTCTTTCTGTAGTTCTTTTTCTACTGCTGTTGCTAGTTTTATTTTGTATTTATTTGCTAAGTTTGTACTGTGCACAATATTAATTTAATTTGATATGCACTTTTTCTGTTTTTAATTAAAATGTCATCAATAATGAAGATGATTATTTTGGCATGGAAGTTATTAAATACAAAGATGAATGAATAAGTAAATTCATTAGTATGTTTTGTCAATTTTAATATATACAATTTCAAAGGCCATGATAAAGAGCATTAAAATATCTAGAACAACATGAAAAGTACAAGAAACGGTAGCAAATCATTACCAAGTTTGTATAAAGGATAAAAAACATTTTAAGTTATAGATAAGTTTCTAAGTTGTCAACATGGAAATCAAGTTGATTCTTGGAGTCTCTATAGTAACGTCATCTAGCTCTGTCTCTTATCTTTTTTGCAGCCTAAACAAAAAGGAACACTTTTTTGCATAATTATTGGAATCACTCAAAAAAAATAAATGAATCAGTTCCATTGGAGAATGACTGCTTCTATTTGTGAGGGTTTCAGAAATCTTTCTTTGGGGTCATTATATAGGGGACAGGTTAGAATGAAATGCACCATGTTTTTCACCTTACACTACAAACACAATTTTCAAATACCACCTTATTATACAATCCATCTCAAACAGCAGCAGGCAGTACTCTCAGTTCAATAAAAGAAGATGGCTTGATTTGATGAAATATCTGGTTTTAAAATGTTTAATTTTCGAAAAGAAGAGGAATGAAACTAACTGATTACAGATATCTTCTTGAATCTATCCAAAATACCTAGGCTGGATCTACACTGCCCTATATCCCAGGATCTGATCCCAGATTATCTACTTTGAACTAGATTATATGAGTCTCCACTGCCAAATAATCTGGGATTAGATTATGGGCTATAGGACAGTGTAGAAGGGGCCGTAGTCTCTTAATCGCCTCTTATTCATACCCAAGGCAAAACTGAATTTTGGCTAATAGTAACAATGTAGGAGATTTTGCGTATGTTTCCAATGCTGACTGTTATTCATTGTTTTGTTAATACAACTGTATTTTGATACTGAATGCCGGCTAAGATCCCACATGGGACACATAAAGAACAACCACTCCATGTAGAGTTGCAAAAATGAAAATTGGAGATGGCTCCTGTACCTTTCATGGTTATACATGGTTATACAGGTATTGCTCATCACAAAACCAGGTAGCAACAAGCAACATTGACATTCCTCCTCTGCAGTTTTCATTCTAGTATCCCTATCTCTATGCATTTGGCTCTGTGCCTGTTTCCACCTTCTCTTACAGCAGCCATGAAGTAGAAAGGAGGATAAGGGAGGTGATTGGACAGCAAGTGGCAGTCTACTTGACCAGACATCATCTGGATGGAGAGAAGAAGGTCTGTTGTGCTGACTAGGCTTGGGCAGGTGATTGCTCCACCCCTTTCGCCAGTGAGTGAGGCTATAACATAGCTTTGGTGTGCATTTATGAGCATGGCACCCCAAAACTGTGTTATGTTGTTGTTGTTGTTGTTGTTGTTGTTGTTGTTGTTGTTGTTGTTGTTGTTTCGTGCCTTTAAGTTGTTTCCCTAAGACAGAGCTTTTCTGGAAAAAAATTGTTCAAAGGGGTTTGCTACTGCTTTCTTCTGAGGTTGAAAGAGTGTGACTCACCCAAGGACACCAGTGAGTCTGCATGGGTGAGCAAGAATGTGAACCCTGCTCTTCTAGCCCAGCACTCAAATCATTACACCAACACTCCTGCCCCCGACCCATGCAATCATGATTTTCTCTCATTTAGATATCTGATTCTAGCACGTTTTCTCACAACAAGATGTTAATCTCTGAGGAACAATTTTTAATGTAATTCCTATTGGGTTCCATTTTTCAGCTGTTTTAGACATAAATAGACATACTGATTAGTTTTTTCTATCAGATCAAGTTTCTTTTTGCAATTAGTTTTCTTCTTATCATGTCAAGTTTTTTCTCTGCAGCTTATCTCAATGTGACCACTCTAGGCTGGATGGAGGAAAGTACCAGTGCTCTCCTATTGACTGAGAGCCAACGTCCCTCAAGTAGGGAGGGGTAGGGGATGACCTTGGAGACCAGCAATAGGTTCATACTTGTCTAGGCTATTCAATTACATATGAGACAGTGTGGTTAGAGGTTGTGTGCCACTCTATATATTGAGTCATAGTCCAAAGGGTTGTCCAAGTCCTTGTCTGTATACATGGAGTTAGCAGAATTTATTTTTTAATTTACATACATACGTCAGATCATGCTATTTCTTGTCATAAGTGCATAAACAACCCTGATTTGTTTTTTTATATCTGTGGCAGTTTCACAATTCCCAGTCAAAGGACAAACATCAGTGCATTTATCAGGCAAGCTTGTTTTGTACTTTTAAAAGTAAAACTTGGTGATCAAGATAATTCTTGGGCCCCTCACAAGGTGTGCAAACAGTGTGCCAAGAGTTTACGGATGTGGACAAAACACATGATATACTGCCATTTGGCATACCTATGGTTTGGTGAGAGCCCAGAGACCATTCAAGTGACTGTTACATTTGTGTAGTGAAAATGTCAGGTTATAACAAGAAAAATAAATGTGAAATAGAGTATCCTGCTCTACCACTAGCTATATGCCCAGTGCCTCATTCAGCTGAAATCCCAGTGCCAGTTTTCATTGAACTGCCCTCTTTCGGAAAACGGGAGTATGGTGAAGAACTAAGTGACAGCAACAATGAAGATATTGAAATCAAAGATGACTCAGTTCATAAGAGATTTGATCAGCATGAATGATTTGGCACAAGATTTGGGACTATCCAGAAGGGCTTCAGAACTCCTTGCATCACAACTGCATGAGAAAATTTTGCTTGATAGAGGAGCATTTCAGGAAAAGCTATAAACATAATTTATTACCTTAATGATTGGTAGCAGAACTACTTGTACACAATTTGACTTGCAGTAACAATATATAGTCTTTGTATGAATAAAATAACTCTACATATTTTGTCTATTAAGGTAATTTTTCTTTATTTTCCTTTGTATGTATAAAGGGAGGGTATCCTGTAACTTAGAAAGTTGTAATGATTTTTGGATTCAGATGCCAAAAGTTAGTCAAAATCACAAGTGTCAGATCTAATCCAATGAAAATTGTGTTTCTCAGTTAGTTCTATCTTAGGTTGTAGCAAATCTGCTCCCCATGTTGAGAACGGATTTTGTGGAAACGAATGTCTTTGAATTATAGATATAATTTTGGGATGTATCAATCACTTCCCTAAAACATTTTCCATATTTATGTAGTTCCAGTATTTCTAATTTGTTTTGATTATGCATTTTTTAAAAACTGGGCTGTTCTCATTGTTTGATAATAACGGATTATGGTTGGAAGTCTGTGTTTAGCCTACCATTTGATGTTTTCTGATA